AAGGGCATAACAACCCTAATAAACTTTTATTATTAAATTATTACATTAAACTCATTAAGATTGTAAGTAGATTTTAAGCAAAAATGACATTCAAAATCATTATTTATGTACTCCACAAAAATAAAAAGGAGAATAAAAGTTTTAAAAAGAAATAAAATGAAAAGAAGAAAAAAAATGAGTATAATAAAAAAATTGTATCATATAAAAGCTTAAAATCTAACAATAATCATATACTTAATGTCATAAAAGATAAGATAGTTGAAATAGTACAAATGCTGGTGAACTTATGAAATTTCAATTTTACCTACAAACACATCTAATCATTAAGTTTCATTATTCAATTCAGAATAAAAAAAGTCAATAATTATATCCATAACATATAAATTCAAATTAAACAATAATAAGGATGACTAATTAGGATAATTATTAGTATTTTCCAGACTAGAATAATATCATTATTTATTTCTACTAATTCTAGATTGTGATATATTATCCAATATTTTAGTAATTTTAAATTATCTTTTTTTACTTTGGTTATTTGAGTAATCAAAATTATAATTTCTTTATTTGCACAAGGACAAGTAATAGTTTAAGCTTGGCAAAATTTGATAAGTATAATTTATTTATTATTTTATATGTTTTACTTTTATTGAATATGCGTTGTTTTTTTTTTTTTTGTACAGAAAAAACTCAAAAATGATAGAAATTCTAAGGAGCCCACAATGTTGTGGCATCCAACAAAACTACATCATAGCGGCCTTCAACACCACCAAGGTGCCCTAATTCTAAAATTATTGCACTGAGTTCTCTATTTATAAGCTATAGTGGCAACATAGATAATGTTGTAGTAGTATCAGTACCGTGGCATTAGAAAGTCAGCTTAGCTGTGCTGGATTCTCTATTTTTAAATGTTGTAGAGACAAAATTTCTTATGCTTTGAGGCAATTTTTTGACATTTGGGTGTCGCAATGCTCAATTGTGCACAACTCCATGGTGTTATAGTTGTAAATTCTAAGGGTTACATTCTATCAGTGAAGAGATGTGAGTATTCACTAAGTAACCAATCAACGTCAGTAAGCACAACAGTGGTGTAGATGTTTCAATGCCAAGATGCTAGTTCACTTTAAGGGCATCAATCTTCCAAGCACTTGAATGCCAGGTTACCTTTTTTGTTTTTTTCCTATAAATAGTAGGTTTGGATATGAGTTCTAAATTAAATTTTTGGAATGACTTAGAAGAATTAATACAAAATATACCTCTTGAAGAAAGAGTTTTTATTGGAGGAGATTTAAATGGACATGTTGGTAGAGAGGTAGATGATTTTAAAAGCATTCATGGTGGCCATGGATTTGGAACGACGAATGAAGGTGGAAAGACCATATTGGATTTTTGTTTAGCTTATGATTTTTTAATTGCTAATACCTTATTTAAGAAAAGGAATGAGCATCTCATCACTTATATAAATGGATATAATACAACCCAGATTGATTATTTTCTTATTAGAAAATTAAATCGTTTAGATTGCAAAGATTGTAAAGTTATTCCAAGTGAAAATTTATGTACCCAACATCGATTATTAGTTTTGGACTTTAAGATAAAGGGGCATAAAATAAAAAATAAAGTAAAACAATTTTCTAGGATTAAATGGGGGCATTTAAAGAATATTAACAAAAATATTTTTGAGAATAAGATTTTAGATCTTAAGGTTTTGTCTGTGCA